TAACTTGATTAAAAAAAGTAAAAGAACAAATATATATTTTATTATGCTATGTTTCAATTACTTGTGCAAAACTTACAAGTACCTGGTTTTTACAGGAAGTTTTAATGAAATGCTTGACTCCACTGATGATTTTTGAATTTCTCTAAATATTGCACCTAATATGTGAGAATTTTTTACTTCCTTTACAATATCTGTTGCTTGTGACATTAACACGCAACAGATATTGTAAATATCTGTTGCGTGTTAATGTCAATGTCATTGCGTGTTAATAAAGAGTAGGAAGTTTCATAAAATTATTAAAAAGTAAATTGAGACTGTGAGATATACATCCATAGAAATTAAGGTAAGGATAGCTCTCTTTTATTAATCTCCATGCCTTTTTCATGTTTGCTGCAATGTCTGTTACTATTCCTAAGACCTTTTTAAGATTAATTTCTTCTAACACTTTCCGTATTTCATCAGATATATATTCCCCAGAATGATTTGATGAACCTTAAAATTATTATTTTAATGAGAATAATTTACACAATGGTGTTCAGTTATATAATCAGAGGAATGTATGCACATTTTACCTAAAGGCAGTGATTTCAATAAAATAGGCACTGATAAAGGCAGTGTCAAAACAAAGTTAATAACTGCTTCAAAGAATTTTAAAGTTTGAAAATGAAAATTATAATAATAAAAAATTCTATAATTTATTTGAACTCACCTTACATTACTCCACCCATCACACATGAATCCTAACGAATCTGCTGTTGCTACTACCTCCTTAACATTGGCAGAAATTAGATTATATTCATTGTCCAAAAGTCTGTTTGACATTTCATTTTTTGTCAGGGTTTTATACGCTGGACGTAAATTATTTAAAAAGGTTTTCCAATATCTATTTTCTACTAAACTTAAAGGTGATCCACAAGCATAAATTGCTCTGGATAAATATACATCAATTGATTCCTTTTACAAAAATAAACTCAAATTAAAAATAATAAAAAAAAAAATTGTATTATAACTTTTTCAAGTAAAAATATGTTAATACTAACCTTTTCACATAGTTTCATACTATCAAACATTGAAAAGGATTTTTCACTTTTAGAAGTTGGTTTGGAATGTTTTAACGCATCTGAATTTAAGGTTGGAGCAATATTTGTGACACTTTTAAAGTTATTATTAGGAATAAGATTTTTAAATTGGCTTATTATTTTGCTTTGTATTATATCTTTTACGGGATGTTTTTCCACTACTATCTCATCATTTAAAAATTTGTGTTTCACTTCAGCTGGACATTTTTTACATTTCTTAATATGCATCGCCATTCTTGTTCCACTTTTTGACATAATGTCATTGCAAAAAGAACTCTCTCCATTTTGCTCACCTGGCTAGCTGGCTTAAATAAAGTGCTCACAGTTGTTTTTGTTCTACCACCAGTATGGCAACATACCACCTTTTTACTATTAATGCTCATATTTTTTAAATATTAGACCTAATAACTAGAAATCTGCCAAGTTAATGACTAGAACCTTGATATTGTAAAATATAATTAATAATTTAGTTATTAATGAAATACAATTATAAAAGTTAACTTAAATTTATTGTTGATATAATTAATTGTAAACTGGTACATTATTTTATAGTTTACAAATAAAGTTTAATTAATAGTACAGAAAATTAAAAAAAAAAAGAAGATACCAAGTAAAGTTTGATGAACAAAAAACTACTATTAAAACTGTGTCAAAATATCATTGAAACTTAAAATACTTTTACATTTTGCAATGCAGTGGTATTTCATTCATAAGATTATAATATTTTTATTTTTTATAATTTTCTCATTCATTCTGTTAAATAAATTTGTTTTTAATTTTGAGGAAAAATTTGTTAAAGAAAATAGTTCTTATCTCAAAAAACATTTCTGCGCTAAAAAGACAAAAAGTTCTCTCTGTTAAATTGCTACTATATTTTATTAAAAAAAGATTTGTTAAATGATCTTTTTTCCTTTTATTTTTATATTTTATTTTTAACGTAATATGAAATAGTAAAGAAGGTAATTAAAGAACAATTACTGAAACTGTTTAATGAACAACGGAAGAACTTATAGTTAGTAATTGGAAAACAATTGCTGATATTATTTGATGAAAATTTAAAAAAAAGACAATACTTTTATTCGTTATACTGGTAAATAGAAAAATAGAAAAGTCTTTAAATATATATCACCTCAAAATTAAAGTTATTTTAAGTGGTTTGTTTAAAAACACCAAAAAAACCAAAAAACGAAGCCCTTGGTTTTTTTGGCAAAAAAACAAGAACCAAAAAAACGACTTACATCTCTCTCTCTCTCTCTCTCTCTCTCTCTCTCTCTCTCTATATATATATATATATATATATATATATATATGTATATATATATATATATATATATATATATATATATATATATATATATATATATATATATATATATATATATATATATATATAGATATATATATAGATATAGATATAGATATATATATAGATATATATATATATATATATATATATATATATATATATATATATATATATATATATAGATATAGATATAGATATATATATAGATATATAGATAGATATATATATATATATATATATATATATATATATATATATATATATATATATATATATATATATATAGATATAGATATAGATATAGATATAGATATAGATATAGATATATAGATATATAGATATATATATATATATATATATATATATATATATATATATATATATATATATATATATATATATATATATATATATATATATATATATATATAGATAGATAGATAGATAGATATAGATAGATATAGATAGATATAGATATATATATATATATATATATATATATATATATATATATATATATATATATATATATATATATATATATATATATAGATATAGATATAGATATATAGATATAGATATATATATATATATATATATATATATATATATATATATATATATATATATATATATATATATATATATATATATATATATATATATATATATATATATATATATATATATATAGATATAGATATAGATATATATATATATAGATATAGATATATATATATATATAGATATATATATATATACATACATAATCAGGATTATCAGGAAGCTCAAGGAATTGGACAAGTGATATTTTTTTATTTTTATTTTTTTCAAATTTCTTTTTTTCTTTACTAATTTAGTACTGCTTTGTTCTTCAATAAAATTGAGTACTGTTTTTGTAGAATACACTAATATATTTGACATATCATTGATAAATTATTTTTAACTTTTTGAATCCACCATCGATCAGAGAGCTCTGTGTTTTAAAAATAATTATTTGCAATTGTTTAATTTATTTGACTTAAATATGGATTCTTTATTGCTTAAATTTAAAAAAAAAACAACAATTTTTTATCTAATTTTTGTATATATGTATTTTAAATCATACACATACAACAAGTGTTACCTGAGTTTTTATATTCTCTGGATTATAATTTTATGTTTCACTTAAAAAAAATTAAAAACATATGTAAAACATTTGGGTTATCACTCACTTGGGTAGAATTTTTTACCATCACCTTTGTTATGTTTTTTACTAGTATTCTTTATTTTCGTTCGTTTTTATTCATAATTGAATTCATTAATATTTCTTATGTATTATTTTAATTTCAAATTTCATAAATGAATTCATTAATATTTCATATGTATTATAATTTTAATTATGTCAAAGTAATCTCCTTATAAATTATCAGAAAGTTGTAAAGCTAGAAAAAAAAAGCTAACGAAAAATTTATGCATAAAGCTAGAAAAACAGCTATCTGTGATAGGGACTGGCGAAGTTGACTTTTTAAGACTTGAAGTTTTATGAAAGATGAATTTAGATTATAAATATTATGTGTGTACTGAATATAACTGAAGGACAAATTTAAGCCGATATGTAGTCCAAATTTAACTGAACAACAAATTTGGACTTCCAAACCGAATTTAACTGAAACCCGAATATGGATTTTAAAAACATTTAATTAAAAAAGAAATATTTTCAAAATTTTTTCAAGTTTTATAAAAAATTTTTTTTTTTTTGCTTTAAATGTTCCAAGAAGATCTAACGGTTTTTCCACAGAGTACATCAGAAAAGTATTAAACTAGAAAGTTCAAACCTTTATTCTTACCAATGGTGCAAAATATACCTAGAGCTTGCTTCGAACCCTAGGTCTATTGCTTCTAAAGCAAGCGCTCTAACCACTGTGCAGCGGTTGCTGTATAATCATTTTTTATAAGTTAAACTTTTTTGGCTTGTAATTAACCATGTAATTAACCAACCTTGTAATTAACCATAATTTAAAACTTAATATAGAACAAGTGAAGCCAAGTAAATTTTAACTTATCAAAAAATTATACGCTTACAAAAAACAATTTGCGTCAAAATACAAAATCTAAAAATTCAGTAATAATGAAAATTTAAGTTGTGGAATCTTTACAACTTCTAATGTTTTCGAACGAACATGAACAATTTTTTATTTTTTTATTTTTCACCCAATTCATGTTCCCAAAGTTGAGTGGGCCACTTTAGTCAAAGAAGCTACTTCTTATATTGGTTACAACCCTCTCTCTACTCTGAAAGAAGGTTGTAACCAATAGAAACAGGTTGATTTACATAAAACATATAATATATTTTATAATTCTTCTTTATAAATTAAAAAAAGACTTAGCTTTCGATTTTAACCGAAAGTTTAATGAAATTTTGAAAATCACCGAATTTAACTGAAAGTCGAATTTCTATTTCAACTTCGACTCCGCAGTTGAATCCGAAGTCAACTTCGCCTTTCAGTAAACTTCGTAATCTGAATATTCCCTGGTCCTTAATCTGTAAAGAATAATTTATGCATTAGATAAATTAATTAAAATGAAAGTTAAAAAAAAGTCTTTTTTTAAAAAAAATATATTTTTTTTTTTAGTTAGAGGAAGAAGACAAAGAAAAACTTGATACAAAAGATCCATGTGCAGATCTTTTGTAAGCAATTTTTTACAAGTTTTTAAAGGTGTGACATTTTGCTGGACTGCTTTGAAATAAGTTTAAACTGTAATATATATATATATATATATATATATATATATATATATATATATATATATATATATATATATATATATATATATATATATATATATATATATATATATATATACATATTTACTTTTTATATATACATATCTACTTTTTATAATACGTGTATATAAATACTATTACATGTATATACATTTTCCAATATTTTTGCTGACTTAAATCCATATGAATTTATTTAGGCTTTAAATATATGGATTAGAGTAGTTTTATCAGTGAAGAATTAAATGAGTTAAATATTATATAGTTAAACATTTATAGACATATAAACAGAATTAGTAACTATTTATGTTATTTGGATAATATATGTATAATATGTATCATGGATAATATACGCTACTAGAGAATATACTATAATTAACTAGTAGTAGTTGTTTGATAAATTTACCAGGAGTTAATGCGTATGGTTGTTATTATTATTATTGTTTATCCGAAAGAATAGCAACTAGTTTTGCTACATTCTGGGGGCACTGCCCTGGATTCAGTTAGATTCCATCTCTGCTTGGGTCGATCAATTCACCTGCATAACAAAAGAATAACTTTTGTTTATTTTGACTTGCGCCAGATTACTCAAGCCAAACTATAACAATTATTACTAACTGTATTGAGTTGATAAATATGTTAGTTTACTAAACCAACTCATTGTTCCCATACTGCCAATACTTCTCATACCTCTCTCGACAACTTGTTCAATTCTGCCAACTCGTTATAATTTTCCGATACCAATCAATTGTTCATATCAGGAATGATTTTCACCAGCTTCAAGAACAATTCAGCCAATATTATGACAATGCAAATGTTATGTGTTATGTGGCATGGAACCAAAAAATAGAATTGTTTAGCTTAATGCAAGATACTGACCTTACCTCTTATATTTACACCCTAGATAAACTAAACTTGTTTATCAAATATTTGAAGCCCAACCTACACAATTTATTAAGACTAAAGCAGTCTGTCTACCAAGCTGCAGTAGCATTTGCTAAGTTGCAAGACAATACTGTGTCAGATTCAACCATCTCTTGATTAGAAGCTAAGCTAGACACACTCCTAAATTCTCCTAATCAAACAGTCGTGGCTACTACCTACCGGGATCACTCTATCTTAAATCAGCGTACTGTTGAATTACAAATAGAAATAGAGTCATTAAGGTAGAACAATAACCGTCTTACCAAAGATTTCAACCAACTGGGCATAACCTTTGTACCAGAGACAGGCAAGTAGTATATAATCGATGCTTAGGAGTAGGAAACACATAACAAGATTGTATTACACGTTATCTGCATATATCACTGCAACCTAATTGTTGGAGTTATAATACCCTAAACTTGACTTCATCTAGTAATACTTTTTCCCCAAAAAGGCAATTTCAAAACAATAAACCAAGAATTAGTCTGCATTCAGATAAATTTGGGGTTAAGTGTACATATTTAGAGTGCTTATTTTTAAGGACATTGGTGATAGATGCAGTTTATAAATTCAATGATAAAAATTCAATGTACTAATGATTAGAAAACCTATTGAATCCCAATGGAATTATATATGACAACCTTTGCCATCTTAGAACACAAAATAGTATGTCTGTTTTTGAGATTTACTTGCCACACTGAGAATAAGCCGAAAGAATGAATATTATCCAGTTATATCAGCACTCAGGTGTAACCCTTCAGTTGACACCCTCCACACACCAGTTGAAAATACGCCAATCCAGAAAGTTTCCAATACTCACTTTCAAGTCACAGTAAGTCAACTAGGGAAAAGCAATAGGTCCCAATCTAACCAAAATGACACATCATTTTTACAGAAATTACCAAAGAAGAACATTGTAGAATCAATTATAACCAAGGTATGTGCAAAGAAGGATATGAAGACTGTATCGTAACACGGAGCCATCTTCCCTATAACACAAGTCTTAGAAATGGAGGAAAACTGTTTCTTTATACCAGAGACAAATCGTTTTAAAGAACAAAATGTCCATGTTTCCCCTACCATAACCAATGGTATGTCTAACTAAGTTAAACTTCATGTTGTTAACCCATTGCTGAATTATGTAACCATTAGTAAAATTCTAGTAATTGGAGTGATGGTCCAACTATCCTCTAAAGTTTCTGAAAAACACAGCACTCGATTAGCTGCAAGATTGATGAATTTGATAGAAGTAAAGGTATTAATGCCATGTTGAACCCTGAGAAACATCTTCAATTATTGACTTTGCTAACAAACAACAAAAATATTTTTGGTCAAGGTTTACAAGAAATTAGACATTAATGTGGTACAACATTTTATTGACACTTGCAATTCTCAGCTTATTGGGCAAAGAACCACCTTGCCAAATCTTAAAGTAAATCACTGGACAAGTATATTAAGGGGATGATAACAAATGTTATTATTTATTATATATTTAAATTGTTATCTATACAAAATTAGCATTTCTTTATTTAGATGATATCTTAATATACTCAGAAACATATAAAGAACACCTCAAACATATACAAATGATAGTTATAAGAAGCAGTTATAAGAATAGCTAAATAGGGAATTAAACATACTGAAATGTACCTTCTGACCAAGTGAAGTAAAATTTTTAGGATATATTACCGTGGTATTAAACCAGATTCAGAAAATATTAAAGTAGCAAAAGGTTATCCAGTGCCCAAAAATGGACTTTATTGGACTCAGCAGTTATCATAGGAGATTTATCAACGATTTTGCCAATATTGCTTTACCTCTAAATAAATTACTAAAAAAGGGGTGTCCTATTGATTGCTCTTTTTACCTAAAGTTACCACAGGGCTCTTTATGGGCAAAGTGTCTAACTGCACAGAAATACAA